ACACCCGGACAGAGTGGGCCACCTAAATCAGGTGGGACGCCTCTCCCCTCTCAGCTGGAGTCCCACTCCATGCAGGCAGCTCAATAAATCATGTATCATTGGGAAGGACATCCATGGTGTCCATATGTAGGTACTTGTGATGTCCTGAATTCTCAGAGGCCTCTAAGGCCATGCCTCTTGCCCTCTTTGACTACTAGGTAACCTGCTGGCACCTGCTTACCACTAGTTGAGGTATAAGTTATTCTGCCTGCTCTCTGGTTTTAGCCTCATCCTCTCTGAACCTCTGTAGAAAAACTGGTACAATTCACAGTCTTTTTTCTTGGCTCATGCTGGGCCTCCTTGTCTCTCCATGCCACTCCTTCACCCTTGACTCTATGTTGGCCTTCATACCCTGAGTTTCAAACATATTAATTCATCCAGCCACTGGCTTAGCTGCCAATCACACAGCTTCTGCTAATTTGAAGAACTCTTTTTTTCTTTTAACAAAACTCAGATTTCTAGACTGTTGCATTACTAGAGTTTAAATTTAAGAACATCTTTAGGGGCCAAAGCAATGAATTCTTGGCTTCAGGCTCCATCTGTTCATTATAAAAAGTGCTGCAACTCATTGATTCAATCAGTGAGAAAGCATAGGGAATTGTGATTGTTAAGGGGAAAGAATAAAAATTTTGTTGTGACCAGAAAATACGACAAAATAGACAAGTTGTTTGACTCTGCTGCAAACAACTAAGAAAAGAAAAGCCAGGATAAATTATTTCTAAAAAATCTTTTAGACTGTACCATTGACCTAGAAATAAACTAATACATACTAGAGATCCAGCGAGATAAGCAGAATGTTGAACCTAGCTTTTGTCTAGATGGAATTTGGTCTTGCAGGGGAAGGGCTCAGATTCAGAAAAGGTAAAAAATCTAATAGGAGACCACCTCCCTTCATAAGTAGAAATTACACTAGGCTAAATTTCACTGAAAAAGTAAACCATAAATAATACTTTTCCAGGATGTTGCAAGTAGAACAGACTATCTCAAACATTTTCACTGTGAAATGAGAAGAAATATATTTTCACTGTGAAATAAGAAGAAATATCTTTTCACTGTGAAATGAGAAGAAAAATAATCATTGAGGATTTGTATCACAGGTTGATCCTTGGAGTAAATTATATTAGACAAAGATGAAGAGAAAATTAATAATCTGGAAGAAAAGTGTCTGAAAATGTGATGCAAAAAATGCATCACAAAGATAGAGTGGTGAAAAATATTAAAGAGGAGTTAAGAGACATGGAAGTCAAAATAAGAAGGTCTAGTGTGCACCTAATCAGATTTCTATAGAGAGCAGAGTGAAGCATTACCTGACTTGAAATTATACTACAAAGCTATAGTAACCAAAATAGCCTTGTACTGGCATAAAAACATATAGACCAAAGGAACAGAATAGATAGCCCATAAATAAATTCATGCACTTACAGTGAACTCATTTTTGTCAAATATGCTAAGAACATAACCTGCAAAAAGGACGCCTTCTTCAATAAATGGTGTTGGGAAAAATGGATATCCATTTACAGAAGAATGAGACTAGACCCCTGTGTCTCAATATGTGCAAAAACAAAATCAAAATGAATTAAATTCTCAAATATAAGATGTAAACTTGGGGCCGGGCGCGGTGGCTCAAGCCTGTAATCCCAGCACTTGGGGAGGCCGAGGCGGGTGGATCACGAGGTCAAGAGATCGAGACCATCCTGGTCAACATGGTAAAACCCCGTCTCTACTAAAAATACAAAAAATTAGCTGGGCATGGTGGCGCGTGCCTGTAATCCCAGCTACTCAGGAGGCTGAGGCAGGAGAATTGCCTGAACCCAGGAGGTGGAGGTTGTGGTGAGCCGAGATCACGCCATTGCACTCCAGCCTGGGTAATAAGAGTGAAACTCCGCCTCAAAAAAAAAAAAAAAAAAAAAAAAAAGAAAAGATGTAAACTTATGAAACTATTAGAAGAAAATATTAAGAAGTCACTTTAGGACAAGAATATCCTGGGAACAATTTCTTGAGTATTACCACAAAGCACAGGAAACCAAAGCAAAAATGGACAAATGGGATCACATCAAGCTAAAATGCTTTGCACAGCAAAGGAAACAAGCAACAAAGTAAAGAGACAACCCACAGAATGGGAGAAAAGATTTGCAAACTACACATCTGAGAAGGGACTAATAACTAGAATGCATAAGAAGCTCAAACAACTCAATAGGAAAAACATCAAATAACCTAACCAAAAAATGGGCAAATGAGCTGAACAGACATTTCTTAAAAGAAATACAAATGGCAAAGAGGTATATGTGAAAATGCTCAATATCACTAATGATTAGAGAAATGCAAATCAAACTGCAATGAGATATCATCTCACCCCAGTTAAAATGACTTTTATTCAGAAGACAGGCAATAACGAATGCTGGTGAGAATAAGAAGAAAGAGAAACCCTTTCTGCCCTACACTGTTGGTAGAAATGTAAATTAGTATAGCCATTATAGAGAACAGTATGGAAGTTCATCAAAAACTAAAAATAGAACCGCCATATGATTCAGTAATCCCACTACTGGATATATATCCAAAAGAAAGGAAATCAACATGTCAAAAAAAAATCTGATGTCCATTGCTCATTACAGCATTATTCAGCACTATTCATAATAGCCAAAATATGGAATCAACCTAAGTATTCATCAACAGATGAATGGATAAGAAAATGTGGTATGTATACACAATGAAATATTGTTCATCCATAAAAAAAAATATTCAGTCCTGTCATTTTTAACAACACAGATGGAGCTGGAGGACATTTTGTTAAGTAAAATAAGCCAAACACAAAAAGACAAATATTGCATGTTTTCACTCATATGTAGGAGCAAAGATAATAAATAAAATTTAACTCATGGAGATAGACTAGAATGATCGTTGCCAGAGGCTGGAAAGCATAGTGGGGAGGAGGAAATAAAGGGAGGTTGTTTAATAGGTACAAAACTACAGTTTAAAAAGAATGAATAAGATCTAGTAGTCGGTAGCATGATAGGGTGACTAAACAACAACTTATTGTATATTTTTAAATAACCTGAACAGTAGAAATGGAATGTTCCTAATACAAAGAAATGATAAATCCTTGATGTGCTGAATCATCTAATTACTGTGATTTTATCATTACACACTATATGATATGCCTGTCAAACATCATATGTATTTCATAAATTATGTATAACAATTATGTATACATAATAATTATAAATAAATTTTTAAATAAAAAATAAGAGAGTAGAAGAATATAAGAGAGAAAATATTTGAAGAGTTGATGGCTAATAATTTTTCAGAAATTCTGTAAGATGCCAGTCCACAGATTCAAGAACCCCAAAGAATCTTAGAATCTGAAGGTGGGTAAATAAGAAATCTTCTCCAAGATATATTGTGCTGAAACTGTAGAATGCCAGAGAAAAGAAAAGGTAGTCAAACTGACCAGAGGAAAAAGATACCTACACAGGATACATTTAGAGTGATGGCTGAATGCCCTATAACAACAATGGAAAGTAGAAGTCAGTGATGATAAATTTAGCTTGCTAAGTGAAAATACTTTATATGAATGAGGTCAAAATAAAGATTTTTTCAGATAAGTAAAAATCGGAAGAGCTTGCTACCAATAACTAAAAGAAGGTTGTATTCATCTTAAAGAAAGTAGCCCAGGTGGAAGGACTGGAACATAAGAAGGAATTATAACCAGAAAGGTGAAAAATTGGGGGTAATCTTAAATACATGTTGACTACACACAATGTGATCTAATAGAAAATTTTTATAAGATAAAATTATATGATATTACAATAATGGCATACAAGTCACAAATCATATGATTGTATTATTTGAGAGAAGAATGTAATAAATTAATATATTTGTTAACGTTAGATTTTTATCATTTACATATGTGAGCTAAAACATTCAGAAATAAACAGAATGAAAACAGAGGGTATAATTTCCAAACTAGTTGATGTGGAAAATGTAATGAGGAAAAAAAAATCATTCTAAAAGAATACAAGAATGGGGTGAGGGGAGAGAGACAGAAAAGCCAGGGCAAATAGAAAGCATATAATAATCCAAATACAATGTATACCTGTAATTACAACACATAGAAAAGACCAAACACTTCAGGCTAAAGACAAAAACTGCCAGATATATATATATATATATATTTTTTTTTTTTGAGACGGAGTTTCGCTCTTGTTACCCAGGCTGGAGTGCAATGGCGCGATCTCGGCTCACCACAACCTCCACCTCCTGGGTTCAGGCAATTCTCCTGCCTCAGCCTCCTGAGTATCTGGGACTACAGGCTTGCGCCACCGTGCCCAGCTAATTTTTATATTTTTAGTAGAGACGGGGTTTCACCATGTTGACCAGGATGGTGTCGATCTCTTGACCTCGTGATCCACCCGTCTCGGCCTCCCAAAGTGCTGGGATTACAGGCGTGAGCCACCACGCCCAGCCCAGATAAATTTTTTAAATGAACTATATGCTGATTATTGGGAGTCCCTCTAAAACAGAAGAATATATAAACACAGAAAGGAAAGGGTGCAAAGAAGATATACTAGGAAAATAATAAAGAAAAGAAAGTTGGAATATTTCTATTAGTATTGGATAAATGAGACTTTTACTAGAACTAGGGACAGTTTCTACATAATAATAGAAATTTCAATTCACCAGGAAGATATATTTTGAACGTGTGCGTGCCTAAAAATTAAATCTCAAAATATGTGAAGCAGTATTTGACAGATTACAAGACAAAATAGGTAAGTTAATCTCCATAATGGGAGACTTAAACATACCTTTCTAATTAATTGATAGAACAACAGAATTAGCAAGTTTGATCTCTTGCCCCTAACAGCTGCAATTCAAAAGCTTTATGGAAGTTGTCAGGAACTTGACCACACAACTAGGCCTTAAAGTAAGTCTCAATGACCATCTTTTAAACTAAGCAATACAACCTCATTAAGTTGGCCACTGGGAAGGACAGGCCACATGTAGGTAAGCTTGTTCCATAGAGGATTTTCAACTCTAGAATGTTTCCACTGGCCTGGCTTACTGGTCCCTTCATGTTTTATGGCCCACCTAAAACAAAAGACAAAAAACAAAAAGAAATTTAGCAAGGTTAAATATCAATTTAAAATATTCATTTTATTCATTGAGTATTTACTATGTACTAAGCAAAAACTCAGTTTGAATTAAAAACCTGAATCTGACAATTTGCTGTTTAAAGAGACAGAAATGGGAGTAACTTATTTAAAAAATAATAAATTTTAAAATCAGGAAAGCATTAAGGCAAAATAGATAACTGTATTTGAGGCAAAAAGTAAAGCAGGATAACAGTCTTTTTATAATAACAATGACATAAGTAACAATGTTAACATAAAAATCAAGCAAAACTTTAGACAAAGAGAAGTTAACTGACATACAATTACTGTGGGACATATTATTACAAGACCAACAAATCACAAAGTACCAGGTAAATTTTTTAAAGCAATAAATAAGAACACAGAATATCTGAACTGCTGTAACTAATAAATGTAAGTATTTATATACATTGTAGCATGCTAATGGAGAATATACCTTTCTCAACAATTCATGGAATATTTGTAATATTTGCCACATATGCACAAAGTAAACATTAATATAGTTTTAAAATAAAAATTAAATAAGCCACATATTGTGACAAAAGAGAAAATAATATTAGATATAAATGCAGTTTTACAATTTTGACCACAAATTATATTATGTCATAATTATATTAAATATAAGTATTATATTAATTTTATAGTAATTATAAGTAAACACACATTCTCTCCCTTAAAACTCTATCATATGAGATAGAGAGAAAAAAATAATGTGATCAATAGATATTTGGTAAGCAATGAAAAAAAATACTTGAAACCTTAAAGGATACATCTAGAATTATATCCAAAGATAAATTTAGAATATTAAGTGCTAATTTATTAAAGCTGAGTAGAGAAAAGAAATTAATAAAGCATTCAACTCAAATTATTTTTTAAATATAAAATTGTCATAAGGAAAATAGGTGAAAGGAAATTATAATAAAGATTCAAATAAATATCAGTAACATGGAAAGTAGAACCTCAGTAGAATAGTTTAAAGAAGTATTTATCAGTTTGGCAGTTCCTCAGAAAGTCAAATATTAGAATACCACATGATCCGGCAATCCCATGCTTAGGTGTATAAACTCAAAAGAATTGAAAGTATGTATTCAAACAATACTTGTGCATGAAAGTTCTCAGCAGCACTATTAATAGTAGGCAAAAGGTAGAAACAACACCCCAAATATGTCTTTGAAATAAAAAATATAATAGCAAATCTCTTGCAAATAAATCTAGATAAATAAGAATGTAAGACAAACCAAACAAGAAAATTGAGCTACATATTTAACATTAACAAGATGAAAAGTAAGAGTATATTATGCATGCATATATTAATAAATACAGCAATTCTAATGAATAAATGAATTTCTGGAAAAAAACCTCACAGATTTGAAATAGAAAATAATAAAAACATGCTCCTGCTCGTATATCTTTGTAGGACATAGGACAGATCTTTCCATGTGATATAAAATAAACCATAAAGATACAGAAAACTAATTAATTCATCCCATGAAGGGAAAATAAGCTACATAATAAAGTCAGTCCATGGTAATTTAAGAAGTGATACAGCAATTGTGTTTATAATTAAAGATGTAAAATTCCTAAATCAATATTAGCCAATAAAATGTAACATTGTGGAAAGAGTATTATTATAATAGCTAAGAAATACTGGTCCTAGAAAGGAAATGATGGACATTTGCTAATATAAGACACCACCGATTAATGAATGAGAATGCAGGATCAGTGCATTACCCATAATTTTCTAGCATACATGATGGTCATCTGAGCCTGCAAATTTTCTGCAATCCCTCAGCCCCATCAGACCCATCCATAGTACTTGATCTTATATTTTTCTTCTTTGTTATGTGAAACCACACATTCATTATCTGAGCAATGCTTTTTGTATGTCTTGTTTCATAGAGTGTTAGCTACATGTAACAAATACCCAGTAACCCAAACTGAAGTTTAAAGAGAAATGGAAAGTTCATTAATTCAGACAACATATTTGAGTTAGTGGAATATTAGCAAATAACTTCAGAAGGTGGTAAGCACCTGCGACTGCAAGTGAAAGTGATAGGAACACATATATTTAAGTCATACCAATTTTATTTTATTTTCTGGAATATGTGATCTACCTCCAAGAATTTGCTTCTTTTGAATACCTTTCTTGTAGTTTTCTCATTCACATGTCAAACTCTGTTGGACTTGGAGATATAAAAGCTTGCTTTCTTGTTTCTCATAGGACTGTCTAGTTTATTGTTACTCCAACCACTTCCAAATATCCCCAGTCGCTTTGAAGCACATATCAATAGACCATCACACTTACTTCACTTCCCTGTTTCATTTATATCAGTTCTCCTGTATCCTCTCTTCTCATTTATTGAAGAGTTTACTATCCTGGCTTACTTTTGTTCTCTCTACCTCTGCTTCTGTAATTATCCAACTTCTCATCATTATCCAAATAGACAATCTACCCTGGTTTCTCAGGGCCTCCCATGACTTTAACCCCTTTTGCTATCAGCCTACCCTTCCCATGAACAAAACCTCAAACTGGTCAATACAAATAACTGCACCACTTTCAATCCTATTTTCAACAACACCACCCTTTCACCACCACCTCCCTTTTCTCTAGTTCATGTATTTAAGTATCTCTACTCCAAAAATTCCTCAACTCTTCCAGATAATCCAAGCCACTGCATTGATCAGCTCTTCATATTCTATAACCTCCCTTCCAGGTAGGCTCTTCCCTTTGTACTCAGCTAAGATTCATGCTCCGGCATCACAGCCACTGTCTTGTGCTTGTCCTCAGCCCACTGCCCCTTCTCCTTCTCTGTATTCACTTGAAAAAAATATGAACCAACTCTGGTTAAGTTCGCTTCTTTCCCCACTCAAAGACTATACTTGTAGAGTTGATCAGTGGTTGGAGAAAAGCACAAACAACCATGAATAAAATTGCTACAAATGATCAGATCACAGTGTGGTTGGGAGAGCAATGTGGCTGTATTAGGGAGTGTTTAAGAATTTGAGGACTTTAATCCATCTGGAGTTAATTTTGGTGTAAGGTGTCAGGAAGGGGTCCTGTTTCTGCTTTCTGCACATGGCTAGCCAGTTTTCCCAACACCATTTATTAAACAGGGAGTCCTTTCCCCATTGCTTGTTTTTGTCAGGTTTGTCGAAGATCAGATGGTTGTGGGTATGTTGTATTTCCTGTGAGGCCTCTGTTCTGTTCCATTGGTCTATATCTCTGTTTTGGTACCAGTACCATGCTGTTTTGATTACTGTAGCCTTGTAGTATAGTTTGAAGTCCGGGAGTGTGATGCCTCCCGCTTTGTTCTTTTTGCTTAGAATTGACTTGGCTATGTGGGCTCTCTTTTGGTTCCATATGAAGTTTAAGGTGTTTTTTTCCAGTTCTGTGAAGAAGGTCATTGGTAGCTTGATGGGAATAGCATTGAATCTGTAAATTACTTTGGGCAGTATGGCCATTTTCACGATGTTGATTCTTCCTAACCATGAACATGGAATGTTTCTCCATCTGTTTGTATCCTCTCTTATTTCGTTGAGCAATGGCTTGTAGTTCTCCTTGAAGAGGTCCTTTACGTTCCTTGTTAGTTGTATTCCTAGGTACTTTATTCTCTTTGTAGCAATTGTGAATGGCAGTTCGTTCTTGATTTGGCTCTCTTGAAGTCTATTACTGGTGTATAGGAATGCTTGTGATTTTTGCATGTTGATTTTGTATCCTGAGACTTTGCTGAAGTTGTTTATCAGTTTCAGGAGATTTTGGGCTGAGATGATGGGGTCTTCCAGATATACAATCATGTCATCTGCAAATAGAGACAATTTGATTTCCTCCTTTCCAATTTGGATACCCTTTCTTTCTTTTTCTTGCCTGATTGCTCTGGCTAGAACTTCCAGTACTATATTGAATAGGAGTGGTGAGAGAGGGCATCCTTGTCTAGTGCCAGATTTCAAAGGGAATGCTTCCAGTTTTTGCCCATTCAGTATGATATTGGCTGTTGGTTTGTCGTAAATAGCTTTTATTGTTTTGAGATACATTCCGTCAATACCAAGTTTATTGAGGGTTTTTAGCATAAAGGGTTGTTGAATTTTGTCAAAAGCCTTCTCTGCATCAATCGAGATAATCATGTGGTTTTTGTCTTTGGTTCTGTTTATGTGGTGAATTACGTTTATGGACTTGCAGTCTACCCATCTGACAAGGGGCTGATATCCAGAATTTACAAAGAACTAAAGCAGATCTACAAGAAAAAAACAAACAAGCCCATTCAAAAATGGGCAAAGGATATGAACAGATACTTTACAAAAGAAGACATACAGGAGGCCAACAAACATATGAAAAAATGCTCATCATCACTGGTCATCAGAGAAATGCAAATCAAAACCACATTGAGATACCATCTCACACCAGTTAGAATGGCGATCATTAAAAAATCGGGAAACAACAGATGCTGGAGAGGATGTGGAGAAATAGGAACACTTTTACACTGTTGGTGGGAATGTAAATTAATTCAACCATTGTGGAAGACAGTGTGGCGATTCCTCAAGGACCTAAAAATAGAAATCCCATTTGACCCAGCAATCCCATTACTGGGTATATATCCAAAGGATTATAAATCATTCTACTACAAGGACACGTGCACACGAATGTTCATTGCAGCACTGTTTACAATAGCAAAGACCTGGAACCAACCCAAATGCCCAACGATGATAGACTGGATAGGGAAAATGTGGTACATATACACCATGGAATATTATGCAGCCATCAAAAACGATGAGTTCACGTTCTTTATAGGCACATGGATGAACCTGGAAACCATCATTCTCAGCAAACTGACACAAGAGCAGAAAATCAAACACCGTATATTCTCGCTCATAGGCGGGTGTTGAACAATGAGAACACATGGACACAGGGAGGGGAGCACTACACACTGGGGTCTGTTGGGG